GCCATCCTTTCTTCACTTTATTACCTTTGCAAGTTTATCAAAAATACCTGAGAATAGAGTGTTCTTCTTTCTTTCCAAATTAAATGTCTTTCTTTTAACCTCATTGCACTAGCTAAATATCTTTTCTTTTTTTTTTTAAGACAGTGTCTTGCTTTGTTGCCTAGGCTAGAGTGAGTGCCGTGGCATCAGCCTAGCTCGCAGCAACCTCAAACCCCTGGGCTTAAGCAATCCTGCTCCCTCAGCCTCCCGAGTAGCTGGAACTACAGGCACGTGCCTCCATGCCTGGCTAATTTTTTCTATATATATTAGTTGACCAATTAATTTCTTTCTATTTATAGTAGAGATGGGAGTCTCACTCTTACTCAGGCTGGTTTCCTTTCGAACTCCTGACCTCGAGCAATCCACCCGCCTCGGCCTCCCAGAGTGCTAGGATTACAGGCATGAGCCAGGGCGCCCGGCCAAGCTAAATATCTTGTACAATGTTGAACAGAAATGATGAGAGTAATCTTTAATTCACCAGTGTTTTCCTCCACAATGTTTATTCTGTTATCAATCTAATCTACTATATCAGAACTTATAGTTTTCAACTCTACAAATTTGATTTGGTTCATTTAAAAATCTTCAATGTCTCTATTTAACTTTTTTAAATTTGCACAAGTGGTAATTTTATTATCATTTTCATAATATTTTAACTATTGTTATTGTGTGGAAATGCTATTGTATGCAGGCATACCTCAGAGATATTGTGGATTCAGCTCCAGACCACCACAATAAAGTGAATATCTCAATAAAGTGAGTCACACAGATTTCTTGGTTTCCCAGTATACATGAAAGTTGTTCACACCCTACTGTAGTCCATTAAGTGTGGCAATTGCCTTATGTCCAAAAAATAGTACATACTTTAAAAATAAGTTATTGTTTAAAAATGCTAACAATCTGAGCATTCAGCAAGTCAATTTTTTTGCTGGTGGGGGTTGATGGCTGGGGACTGATCAAGGTGGTGGCTGGTAAAGCTTGGGGTGGCTGTAGAAATTTCTTAAAATAAGACAACAATGAACATTGCCACATTGATTGACTCTTCCTTTTATGAAAGATTTCTCTGTAATATGTGATGTTGTTTGCTAGCATTTTACCCATCGTAGAACTTCAAAATTGGCATCAGTCCTCTCAAACCCTGCCACTGCTTTATCAACTAAATTTATGCACTATTCCAAATTCTTTGTTGTCATTTAAACAATATTCGCAGCATTTTCAGGAGTAGATTCCATCTCAAGAAACCATTTTGTTCATCCATAAGAAGCAATTTCTTATCTGTTAAAATTTTATCATGAGATTGTAGCAATTTAGTCCCATCAACCAGCTCCACTTGTAAGTTTCTTGCTATTTCCATCACATCTGCAGTTCTTTCCTTTACTGAAGTCTTGAACCCCTCAGTGTCATCCATAAGACTTGGAATCAACTTCTTCCAAACTTCTGCTAATGTTGATATTTTGAGTTTCTCCCATGAATCATGAATTTTTTTTTTTTTTTTTTGAGACACAGTCTTGCTTTGCTGCCCAGGCTAGAGCGAGTGCCTTGGCGTCAGCCTAGCTCACAGCAACCCCAAACTCCTGGGCTCAAGCAATCCTGCTGCCTCAGCCTCCCGAGTAGCTGGGACTACAGGCATGCACCACCATGCCCGGCTAATTTTTTCCTATATATATTAGTTGGCCAATTAATTTCTTTCTATTTATAGTAGAGATGGGGTCTCACTCTTGCTCAGGCTGGTTTCAAACTCCTGATTTCAAGCAATCCGCCCGCCTTGGCCTCTCATAGTGCTAGGATTACAGGCGTGAGCCACCGTGCCCAGCCTGAATCATGAATATTCTTAATGACATCTAGAATGGTGAATCCCTCCTGGAAGGTTTTCAATTTACTCTGCCCAGATCCATCAGTAGAATCACTATCTGTGGCAGCTATAGCCTTATGACATGTATTGTTTTTTTTTTTTTAGAGACAGGGTCTTGCTCTGTCACTCAGGCTGTAGTGCAGTAGCATGATCATAGCTCACTGCAGCCTCAAACTCCTGGGCTCAAGCAATCCTCCTGCCTCAGCCTCACAAAGTGCTGGGGTTACAGGCATGAGCCATGGTGCCTGACCAACAACCCTGGCTTTGAGACGCCTCTCCACCTCATTAGTCATTCCCTTCTCTGCCCCATCGCGTCTAAACACAGTGAATTGTAGTTATTTATGTCCAGAGCTGGTTCTCCAACTAGAATGTCAGCTAGCCATGGCAGCGGGTGTGTATTACTCAGCACCCAATAGGCCATCACTACATGTTTGTTGAATGAATAACACAATGAACATCTTTAAGGGCTTCTTTGTGGGACCTGCTCTCCTCAAGGGAAGAATAGGAGATTTTCCACACCAATCAGGCCAGCTGGACCTGGGGTGGCTTTTTGGTTACTTGTTGATTTTTAAAATAAATTAGTTTTTTCAAAAAATATTTTTGTAACTTAAAAATAACATTCTTCATTGAAAAACATTTTAAATATATAATGTATAAAGTTGAATGTCAAAAATCCCCCTCACTTCTCTTCCAATCCATTTCCCAGAGGCAACCACCAGTAATGTTTAACAGCTTTATTAATATGTAATTCATACCACTGTTAGTATCACTGAAAAAAAAATATGTAATTCATATACCAGACAATTCACCATTTAAAGTGTACAATTCCATATATTTTAGTATATTCATAGGGTTGTGCAACTATCACCATTATCTAATTTAGGACATTTTTATTTACTCAAAAAGAAACTCAGGACCTATTAGTAGTCACTTTCCATCTTCCTCCCAATCCCCCATACCTCTCCTAACCCTAAGCAACTACTAATCTATTTTCTGTACCCACTGGCTTGCCTTTTCTTGGACATTTAGTATAAAATGAATCACATAATATGTGCGATTTTTTTTTAAATGTCTGGCTTCTTCACTTACCATAATGTGTTAAAGGTCACCCATGTTGTAGCATACATCATTGCTTCATTCCTTTTTATTGCTAAATAGTATTCCATTGCATGAATAAAGCACATTTTATTTATCCAATCAGTCACTATTTAATAAGTCTCTTGTATTTGTTCAGGTTGCTTGGGGTTCAATGCCCACTCAACAAGTTCCTAGATGAGTGACTTCTGGTAAATCATAATCTCCCCAAGCTTGCCTCAGTTCCCTCAAATGTACAATGTGAATAAAATGGAATCTACCACATAGTGTCATGGTTGTACTGCCCTAGCAATTAAAATTTGTTGAGCAACTTACCATGTGCTAGGTACTTTATGAGGATTACTTTAACACATTTAAGATTTACACATTAGGGAACTGAGGTTAGGAGAAGTAATCTCCCCAAGGTCAACAGTCCCTAAGAAAGTGGTGGAGGTAAATGGATCACAGGCTGACTGCAATGCTTGCACCATTAACTGCTAATATCACAGAATAACAAAGTGTTGAGCAAGGGCCTTTCGAAAAGAATGGGCTTAGTAAATAACTGATGGAATATGGAGTACAAAAAAAAATGGAAAAAAATTAGCAAATGATTCATCATACAAAGACAACTGCCACAGTTAATATTTTGGCACATTTCCTTCTAGTCTTTAAGAAATACTTCAAAATACCAAAAAGTATAGAAAATAATAGACATCAACCACACCTGCCTCCCAGGCCTGTTTTTTAAAAGACATAAAATATAGTAAATCAGGTGGTTCAACCTTATATATCCTTAGGTATATTTTCCCATGCATTAATTTTCTGTAGGTCACACCACATCATTTTGAGTCTTTTAAAAATCCTATCTTGAGGCCGGGCGCGGTGGCTCACGCCTGTAATCCTAGCTCTTGGGAGGCCGAGGCGGGCGGATTGCTCAAGGTCAGGAGTTCAAAACCAGCCTGAGCAAGAGCGAGACCCCGTCTCTACTATAAACAGAAAGAAATTAATTGGCCAACTGATATATATATATAAAAAAAAAATTAGCCGGGCATGGTGGCGCATGCCTGTAGTCCCAGCTACTCGGGAGGCTGAGGCAGAAGGATCACTCGAGCCCAGGAGTTTGAGGTTGCTGTGAGCTAGGCTGACGCCACGGCACTCACTCTAGCCTGGACAACAAAGTGAGACTCTGTCTCAAAAAAAAAAAAAAAAAAAGAAAAGAAAAAAAAAAATTCCTATCTTGAGGTAGGGTGTGGCAGCTCATGCCTGTAATCTGAGCACTTTGGGAGGCTGAGGTGGGAGGATCACTTGAGGCCAGGTGTTCAAGACCAGCCTAAGGAACATAGGGAGACCTCCATCTCTACAGAAAATTTAAAAACTAGCTGGGCATTGGCAGTGTGCCCCTGTCGTCCTTGCTGCTAGTGAAGCTGAGGTGGAAAGATCCCTTGAGCCCAGGAGTCTGAGGTTGCAATGAGCTACAATGAAGCCTCTGAACTCTTACCTGGGTGAGAGTGAGCCCTGTCTTAAAAAAACAAACAAACAAGCAAGCAAACAAAACAACTCTATCTTGAGCACTTCCCCAGCATACCAAATATGCTGCATTTCTCATGGCTACATACATTAGACTGTATGATTGAAATCTGACTATGAATTCCCAATTATTGGGCACTTAGGCTATTTCCCTGCAAAAACATCACTATACAAGCATCTTTCTTCAGGCATTGGATAATTTCCTTTGGACAAATTCCCAGAAGGGCCCTAAGGTCAGACAGTGAGCCTGTATTTAAAGCTCTTTATACTTTTTTTTGCCAAACAGCTTTCAAGGATTTTAACGCCGCGAAGGCCTAGTAAAATCACGTCTTCGGAATCTTAGCTAATCGTTACTTTGATAAAACCTGGACCGGGAAATCAGGAGATAAGTTCTGTCTGCCAAACGCCCAACAGTCTGAAGCCCGGCTGGGCGAAGCACTCGGGGACCTCCAGCGAAGGGAACCCGGCCGTGCGGAGGCCCCGGGCCGCCGAACTCCCGGCGTGCAGCACGGCATTCCCGGCGTGCACCGCGGCGCGCGGAGCTGGCGACCGGGCGGTGGGAGCGGACGTCTGGGGCTTCGCTGGCGGCTGGGATCGTCAAGGCGGGGACGACATGGAAGTGTAAGCCACCCGGGGCGCGTTCCTGGCTTTGGGCCGAGAGGCGTGGGGACCCGGCAGCCTCTCGTAGCGCCCTGGAAGCGACGTGTGGGGCAAGGCGACGGCCCAGTCTGAGAGGGTCTGGGGGGCCGGGGAAGAAAGGGACTCGCGCTCTGCCCTTCCGAACCGCGGTGCCTGGGACGCGGGGCTGCCTTTGAATGTGCCTCTCCTTCCCTCCCTCATTCATTTCCTAGCGCTCTTGGGTCACAGTGGGGAGGGGAGCCTGGCCTGGTATCCCACCAGGACTTAGAAGGCTGGAGGAGAGACCCATGAGGGCTGGGGTAGAACTGTGCTTGCAGGAGCCCTAACCTCGAGGTGCTGTCCGAGCTTGTTGGGGAGCCGTTAGCCCTGTGAGGGAAGGGGCGGGTTTTCTGGGCAGAAGTAAGTGTATGGACAGGACTGCGAACGGAGAAACACCAGGGGGCACGTGGATGTGTTGTGTGTGTGTGTGTATAGAAGGGGGTAAAAGCCGTTCTATTGGGAGGCTGAGGCAGGAGCCTCGCTTGAGCCCAGGAGTTCGAAGTTGCAGTGAGTTATGATCAGGCCGCTGCACTCCAGCCTGGGTGACAGAGCAAGACTCTGTTTAAAAAAAAAAAAAAAGCCATTCTGTTTAACTCTATATGGTCTTTTCCATATTGGCTAATTGTGTCCTGTGCAGATGGAAATTTTTGCATCTACTTTGCATGAATTTTTGTTTTTGAGACAAGGTTTCCTCTGTTGTCTGAGCAAGAGTGCGGTGGCCTTATTGTAGCTCACTGCAACCTCAAACTTCTGGGCTCAAGCAGTCCTCTTTCTTTAGCCTCCCAAGTAGTTGGGACTACAGGCCTGAACCACCACACCTGGCTAATTTTTTTTATTTTTAGAGATCAGGTCTTGCTGTATTGCTCACCCTGGTCTCCAAGTCCTGGCCTCAAGCAATCCTTCTTCATTGCCGCCCCCCCCCCAAAGTGCTAGGATTACAGGCATGAGCCACCACATCTGGGGTGCATGTGGGTTTTTTACATGATTGAAAAAACTCATGCCTACTAATTTTAGGCATTACCTATCTTGTGTTCTCTGGAGCACTGGTTATTTAATACATTCTTGTTTATGCTCTTTTACCTAATGTTTAATGGTTGTATGTACTACTATTTTACAGATTTTTTTGACTTAACAGAGTATGTATATGTAACTGAAATGAAAAGTTCATGAAATAATACTTACCTTTATACAGTACACTCTGATATTGTCTATTCTGTTTTACTAAAAAGAATATTGACACACTAAATTAATTTTGCAGTCCACTGATGGGGTTTAATCTGCAACTCAAAAAACATTTGTGTTAATATATGTATTACTCTAGCCCAAGCATTCATCATCAGTTTTTCTCCCTTTACTAGAGGATTTCCTCTTGGCACACAAACCTGCTTTAATTTAATCCATCTTAAAAAAAGATGAAGAAGAATCTGTACATACTGGCCTTGCAGGGTTTCTGCACTCAGTCTGTTAGTATTAGATCACACCCTTTGTGTCCAATCATATTTCTCAATGGTTGTCCATGCTTCAGTCATGCCTATCCAATGAAGTCTCCATAAAAGGCCCAAGAGGACTGAGCCTAGAGAGCTTCTGGATAGCTGAACACCTGAAAGGTGTTGTGCCAGGGAGGGCATGGAAGCTGTGCCTTCCCTCATACCTTGCCCGATACATCTCTTCATTTGTATCCTTTGTAATAGCCTTTATAATAAACCAGTAAGTGTGTTTCCCCGAGTATTCTGAGCCACTCTAGCAAATTAATCGAGCCTAAAGAGGGGGTTGTGGGAACCCCAACTTGAAGTCAGTGAGGAGTTCTAAAGGCCTGGACTTAACTAATGGTATCTGAAGTGGGGGCTGTCTTGTGTGACTGAGCCCTCAACCTGTGGTATCTGATACTATCTCAAGGTAGATAGTGTCAGAATGAATTGGATTAGAAGATGCCCAGCTGGTGTCAGCTGCAGAATTGATTACTTGCTTGTTGGTGGGGAGAATCCCTATACATTTTGTCACAGAAGTCTTCCGTGTTGATTGTTGTAGGGGAGAGCAGAGGAAAAACAGTTTGTTTTTCAACCAATTTATAATATCTAATACAATGTAAGCTATGTAAATAGTTGTTATACTGTGTCATTTAGGGAATAACGACAATAAAAGAAAACAGTCGGCTGGGTGTGGTGGCTCACACCTGTAATCCTAGCACTCTAGAAGGCCGAGGCATCAGGATCACTCAAGGTCAGGAATTTGAAACCAGCCTGAGCAAGAGTGAGACCCCGTCTCTACTAAAAATAGAAAGAAATTAATTGGCCAACTAAAAAAATATATAGAAAAAATTAGCTGGGCATGGTGGCGCATGCCTGTAGTCCCAGCTACTTGGGAGGCCGAGGCAGGAGGATCGCTTGAGCCCAGGAGTTTGAGGTTGCTGTGAGTGAGGCTGATGCCACGGCACTCTAGTCCGGGCAACAGAGAGAGACTCTGTCTCAAAAAGAAAAAGAAAACAGTCCGTACAGGTTCGGTACAGAGGCAACCATCAATAGGCGTTATACACATCAAGAACAATGTAACATTTCCTTTTATTTTTTTCTTCATATTTTCTATCAGAAGTTGGTTGAACCCAAGGACCTGAGGATATAGAAGGCTGACTGTATAAATTAATCAGCTATCATCCTAATTGCTGGGTATATAGATTTTTTTATTTTCCTAAGTGAAATGGTTTGTGTCAAGGGTTTTTACTCCTGTAACAACCCATCCACTTCTCCCAAGGAGTTAGTGACTTATTGAAACCAATCAAGAATTTTGCAGCTAGCAATTTATGGGAAAATGAGGATTTCTGAGATAGACATGTATGATTCAAGAGTGGATGGACCCCTGGGGTGGAAGGTCTGGAAGCCTAACTTCTAGTTCCTGCCTGGTCTCCAACGTGAGGTCTGACCTCTGGCAATCTGGTCCTTAGGATTTAGCAGAACCCTGAGTCTCTGAAAGGGCAAACAGAGTTGATCCTTGAACAACATGGGTTTAAACTTCAAGAGTCCACTTATACATGGATAATTTTCAGTAAGTTCAGTCAGTCTTCCTTATGTGTGGGTTTCACATCCACAACCAAACACACAGATTGAAAATACAGTATTCAAGGGATGTGAAACCTGCATATATAGACAGCCACTTTTCATATTTGCAGGTTCCACACAGCTGACTGGGAGACTTGAGCAGGTAGGGATTTTGGTATATTGGAGGAGGGGCAGTGCTGGAACCAATCTCCCTCAAATACAGAGGGACAACTGTATACTGTACCTCTATCAGGTACTCCTAGAACCTGAAGTGAGGAGACAGATGAAAAACTTACCTTTTTTCTTCAGTTATCAAGCAAATACCTTCTAAATAAATAATACATATGGACATACACCAGAAATTTCTTAAAGGGGAGGAATATTTATGGTTTATTTGATTGACTTACAGAACTTAAAAACTTCTTGACCATCATTTGGGAATTTATTTTCTTCAAGTAAAAGGATACAAAATATTCATAGCAAAATTAAGTATTTCTATATATAAGGAAAAGGGACACTATTCTCTGTACCATCTTTTTGAGGCAGTGTCAGGATTTCTTTCATTTTACAGCTGGGAATAAATACTGAGATTTAGAAAAGTTAGGTACTAGGTACTATAAAATCCAGTAACAAGACTGGGAAGAGGATACTTCTTTCCTAGCTCCCAAGAGAATGATACAGGTTATATTGTTCATTGACTTCAAAGGCTGCCCAGTTTTCTTGTACCAGAGTTTGGTTTTTCAGAACATTATTTAAATTGATAGCATAGGTTGAACGTAGGAGAATTTGAGCAATTCCATTTGTTATTGCCTTCCTAAGAGTTAACTGTGTGGCAATTAATAGATGGTGTTTGCATGGGCTTTTTTGTGTATGTGCGTGCTTCTAAGGTAAGTCAGTCAATAGATCATTTTGTTCTGTTTATTCAGAATTTGGTTTTCCACAGTAGTTGTTTATGTCCGTTAAATTGACTCAGCAAGTTAAGCAAATTTTACAGGTTAAATTTCAAATAGTCAACGTCAGTCAGCTAATTCATTACTTAAGTAAATTAAGTAATTGCCTGCCTGTAGTATGGATTCAATCTATAAAATTCACTTGGAATATTTGCTTTAAACACCTCTAAATAAAATTATTACTGCACTATTCTAACTCCTACAGGAGAATATGAAGTTTTGTATAGGTGGGCAATTTCTTAAAAGTCTGATTGCATGTGAATGTATTATATTAAAGTGTTAGGTATAGAGCAGACAGTTCCTGCTCTGTAGAGATAAACAGCTTTTAAATTTACAATTGACAGGTGTGTCAACCGACAGATTATAGTAGCTCTAAAAAACATTGAAAGAAAATGTATTTTATGTCCTCAATTATATCTTATAGTAATGTCTTTTTTTTTTTAACCTCATGGAATTGTTTATTGCAGTTTTACATTTCCATTTTCCTCAACTTTTTAGCTTGAGAAATTTCAAACCTTTGGAACAGTTGCAAAAAGAGCACCACAAATACCTATATACCCTTTACTTAGAGTCACCATTTGTTAACATTTTAATTTAGATATTTGCCTTATTTATTTTGTGCATACGTTAGCTTTCTCTACACACACACACACACACACACACACACACACTCACTTACTTTACTGAACCATTAGAGAGTTGTAGTCATGTCATTTCATGCCTTCTTGAAAAAAGACATTCTCTTATATATCTACAGTGCCATTATCACACCTAGGAAATTTAGCACTGATATAACTATTATTAAAATACACTCTATATTCAAACTTCTTCAGTTGTCCCAATATTCTTTTAGCTGGGTTTTTCCCCACAGTTTTGGATCCAGTGAAGAATTGCACAGTGCATTTAGTTGCCAAGTTTCTTTAATCTCCTTTACTCTGGAACAGTTTCTTAGCCTCTTTTTGTGACATTGGCATTGTGACAGATGACATTGATATTTGAAGAATCTAGGCCAGTTGTTTTGAAGAATGTTCCTCAATTTAGAATTGTCTGAGTATTTCCCCATGACTGGATTCAAATTAAACATTTTTTTAGCAGGGTTGCTAGGAGGGATGTGTCTTTCTCAGTGCATCACACCATCATTATTGGTGCTATTAAATTGGATAACTTGATTAAGTTGATGTCTGTCTGATCTCACCATATCCTGTTCCTAACAACCTGTCATTAGTGGTGATTACAGTAACTTCTTGAGGATAAAAACTGCCTTTTAAAAAATTTCCCAGTACATACAGCTCTTTTAGAACTTTATAAAAGGTAGTTACTGGCTGGTCTGAGTGCAGTGGTGTTTACAACTAATTGATCACAACCAGTTACAGATTCATTTGTTCCCTCTCCACTCCCACTGCTTCACTTGACTAGCCTTTTTTTTTTAAAAAAAGGTAGATACTATATTTATTGACATTATCGAATAAAGAAAGGCCCTAGAATATATGAATATGTTAGTATTTGTAAGTGTTTAGGTGGGTAAAAAAAAATTTATCTTTCTAATGAAAGAAAACCAATGAATAAATCAGCTTCTACCATCCAGAGCCTGAAAAATACAACACCTGTTTAAACATCCGTTGTTCTTCTGATCCCCAAACACAGATTCATTAAAATATACATGAAAGAGAGTTTTCTTCTTTTGTATACTGGCTCTAGAAAAGGCAGGTGATCTTTGGATTCTTGCATTAACAATATTGACTTGAGTAGTGGGGGCAGAAACTTAGAAGGGCCAAAGACAGATTTCCTTGGGTGTGAAATATTCTGAAGGACAGAGAAGGTGCCATAATTTGGAGATGAAAATTATGCCGTCCCAAAGTTGTAACATTGGCACCTGGGATGGATCCATTGGCTCTGAAGAAAAATAACATTTGTATTTTTTCCCTAATCAGCCATTCCTGGAAGGGATGTCTTAGTGCCTCATATTTTAGAGAACACAGGGAGTTGTAAATTCAATTTCAAGCAAAGATAGGAGGAAGCCTTGTGGACTGACTTCCTAATTAAGTACACAAAGATGATGTGTGGTTTGATTTGTCATTTTCTATTTTTTATTTTTTTGAGACAGACTCTTGCCTGGGCTAGAGTGCTGTGGCATCAGCCTGGCTCACAGCAATCTCAAACTCCTGGGCCCAAGAGATCCTCCTGCCTCAGCCTCCCAAGTAGCTGTGACTACAGGCATGTGCTGCCATGCCTGGCTAATTTTTTCTATTTTTAGTAGAGACGGGGTCTTGCTCTAGCTCAGGCTGGTCTTTATTTTTTTTAGACGGAGTCTCGCTTTGTTGCCCAGGCTAGAGTGAGTGCCGTGGCATCAGCCTAGCTCACAGCAACCTCAAACTCCTGGGCTCAAGCAATCCTGCTGCCTCAGCCTCCCGAGTAGCTGGGACTATAGGCATGCACCACCATGCCCAGCTAATTTTTTCTAATATATATTAGTTGGCCAATTAATTTCTTTCTATTTATAGTAGAGACAAGGTCTCGCTCTTGCTCAGACTGGTTTCGAACTCCTTACCTCGAGCTATCCGCCCGCCTCGGCCTCCCAGAGTGCTAGGATTACAAGTGTGAGCCACTTGCCCAGCCTGTAATTTTCAATTTTAAATGAACTGTATCAGATATGCTAATTCTGCATTGTCCTTCCTATATTAGGTTCTTTTAAAATATATTCTTTGTGACCTGAGTGCACTTGTGATCATTCAGACAAATCAGCACTTTTGTGAAATTGTAGCTATTTGTTGAGTCACTATTAGCATTTGGTAAGCTTATTTGATTATAGTGCTGACATCACTGTGCTGACGTGCTGAAGACCTAAGGCCTAGGTCAATCTCTGGGTTAACCACCTGCTGGTTTTGCTTTGTTTGTTGACTGGGGAAATCACCTATCTGTTTGGCTTATGTTTTTCAAATTTGGCGTCATCATTTTCATCATCGAGCCCACTCCTGGTTTAAGAACATACAGTAGTCTTCGTTCCTCATTATGTCAAGTTCAAACTCCTCTACCTGAATTTTTAGGATTGTGCATTATTGGTTTCCATCCATCCAATCCAGTCTCATTTTTCAGAATTCCACCTAAGGCTTTTTGCTGTGTGACCTAGGGCAAGCTATTTAATCTCTGAGCCTCAGTTTTATAAAGTAGGAATAATACTAATAGCTCCTATATCACAGGGTTTTTAAAGAGAAATGAATAAGATTAATATATTTAAAAAATAATAAGGTTCATTTATGGAGATCTTAAGTACCAAGAACTATGATAAACTTTTAAAATTTATTGTCTTATTTCATTATAACAGTTATATGAGCTGTGGAGAGGCTGTGGTGGGGATAGTAGCACAGGTATTAGTAATGATAATGGTGTTTAATGAGCACTTACTGTGTTACAGGTATTTTACATGTTTCAATTTAAATGATCTTACAGGGTTGGTACTATAAATTGCCATTTTATAGGTAGGAAAATTTAAGCATAGGAAAATTAAATAACTTGTCCAAATTCACACAGCTAATGTATGGTGGAGCTGGGTTTAGAATCTAGGCTGTACTTGTAGATTCTAGCTTATCCTCATTTTTTGTTTTAGAGGGGTAAGTAGAGGGAGAAATTAACTACATACCTTGGGCTGGGCACAGTGGCTCACACCTGTAATTCCAGAAGTTAGGGAGGTGGAGCCTGGAGGATCGCTTGAACCTAGGAGTTCGAGGCCAACCTAGGCAACATGGCAAGACTTCGTCTCTACAAAAAAATTAGCTTGAACATGGTGCGAGCGTAGTCCCATAGTCTCAGCTACTCAGGAGGTTGAGGTGGGAGGATTGAATGAGCCCAGGAGTTTGAGGTAACAGTAAACTATGATCGTGCCACTGCACTCTAGACTGGGCAACAGAGTAAGAACTTGTCTCTAACAAACAAAAAACCCTCACATACCTTAAAAGTGGCAGAATATGAACCCAAATCTGTCTGATTTCACAACTGTGTTCTTAATTGTCATATTATACTGCCTCCTCATTGCTAAAAGCAATAAATACTTTCTGATGTGATACTGTAGAATTGATCAATTATGATTTAATATAAATCACATTGCTGTGTTCTTTCACATATGATAAAGAGGGCTGTTCAGAAAGTATCCAGGCATTGTTAGTATAACATTATGCTGATAATATAACTTTATATTACATTGTAATATATTGTCTTGAATGACTGTTAACATCAGGCTTTTGACCACTGCTTAACACATGAACTCTACCTGTTGATTTAATATAGAAGATGAACACCTTTGGAGTTTTGTAGATATTTGGCAGTATTCTTGGCCATTGTTGGAATTCCCAGTGGTGATGTTAGTGTTAAGTAGTCCATTTTTGTTGATTCGGTAGGAGGACTTGGCCATCCAAGATGTCAATAGCTGATGGGAGGCAGATAGTACTGGAGAGAAGACATGGATACGAGAGGGATGGCACTTTGTTTCTCCAGTTATTTCTACAACCTTATTCTGTTTATTGGCCCTCCCCCTTTGTGGTTTTGTGCGCATGTTCTCCCTGTAACTAACTTTTCCCAGATGTCTGACTTCTCTTAACTTCTACCTACATAGGCATGGGATCACTATAGTATTTTAATCACCTACCTGGTGATGGGTGTGTGGTATGCTATGGCTGTAAAAAGCAAAGTCTGCTCTCAGATTGCCCAAAGCTAGTTGAACCATGTAAGACTTAGGACATTTCTCAGTTTTAATATACAGTCCCCAAATTCCTGACCTGGACTACTAGATCTTGACAGGAATTATTTTACAGATATTTAATACCTAGAAAGAGATGTGAGAGGCTAGACTGACGATAGTTTACTTTTCTTTTGCAGGAAGGATGCCAATTCTGCGCTGCTTAGTAACTACGAGGTAAGTAGCTTTGAAGTGGGCTGATAGTTTGCCCTTTGCTTCTGAAGAGTATTGAATTAATTTTGGTTAGAAATAACTGAACTCATGTGGATTTCCACTTTAAAATAGGACAGATGGCACCATCTGGTGGACTTGGAATGTTCTAAGCTTGGTAAATTATTCAAAGGACTTCAGGGAAGCTGAGAAGACTAGTTTATAGTAGGAAATCTTCCCTAAATCCTGATTTAGGATTCTAGATTATTATTTGGGATGCCTTCATAGGATGGAAGCATCAATTTTAGAGTCATTTCTATCTGTAAAAGTTTCCTATTAAAATACTTGTATCTTTTCCTAATTAGTACCCTTTATCTATAAAATGCTTTTATAATTAATTATTTCGATTCTCAAATAGTCTTGTGGGTATTAACATCCTCATTTTGAAAGTGAGAGTTTAGTTGACTCGCCATTATGAATAATTTAGTAGGAATTAACAGATTGATAATTTTGAGGGTTTGGGAGTGGGGTTGCTGGGGAAATGGAAAGAAGGAAGGAGGTTGGTGAGAGAGGAGATATATCAATATATTTGTCTATTTCATATTTTGCCTGGGTCCTGTTAGGTACCAGCAAAACCATCTGATAGGTTAACTCCAGGTGTAGAAAGAACAATTCATACATTGACTCTCAATTTTCCATATGCCAGAGTCTAAATTCATGAAGACTTAGAGGAGGTCTGGGTCTCCGTTGTGTATTATATAGAAGGTAGTAGAATAAACACAGTTGCCCATGTTCCTCCCTTCCTAAAGTTTCATTATAAATGGTTGCTGCTCATAACAGGAAGGAAATGGTTTTTAGGCAAACCTTTGGCTTTTAGGAACCTCCTTGTCCAGTTTGAACTTTGCTAGGTGTTTGGGTATTTTTTCCTTTGGGAAATCATTGGATTCATTGGGTCTTACCCAAACAAGGGTTTTGCATTGTATCTAGTAATGGTGTGTGAGCCTATATTTCCTTCGATTCTCTAAAACAAGAACAAGATTCCTCTGTACCCCAGCACTAATGCATATACAACTTTTTTTTTCAGGGAAAAATTTCCTTTTTCTCTTTAATATGTTTTTTGTTTGGTTGTTTTTAATTTTTTGTTTGTTTTGAGACGGTCTCATTCTGTTGCTTTGGCTAGAGTGCAGTGGTACGATCATAGCTCACTGCAACCTTAAAAACCTGAGCTCAGGTGATCCTCTGCCCCAACCTCCTGGACTATAGGTACCACTACACCGGGCAAATTTTTTAATATTTTTGCAGAGACAGCATCTCACTATGTTTGTTACTCAGGCTAGTCTCAAACTCCTGACCTCAAGCCATTCAGCCACTTCTACCTCCCAAAGTGGCAGGATTACAGATGTGAGCCCACACCTGAGCCAACACTCCTGGCCAGGAAAGTTTGCTTCTAAAGATCTATAGCACTTTTTCTTTCTTTCTTTTTTTTTTTTTAACGAGACAGGATCTTGCTATATCACCCAGGCTGGAGTGCAGTGATGTGATTGTAGCTCACTATAACCTCGAACCCCTGGTTCAAGTGATCTTCCTGGCTCAGCCTCCCAAATAGTTGGGACCACAGGTATACACCACCACACCTGGCTAGTTTTTTTATTTTTTGTAGAGACAGGGGTCTCACTATGTTGCCCAGGCTGGTCTTAAACTCCTGGCCTGAAGTGATCCCCCACCTCAGTCTCCCAAAGTGCTAGGATTACATACACGAGCCACTGTGCTCAGTCTCCTTTCTTTTTTGTGTGAACTGTATTTTACCACTTGCTTTATAATATTTCTTTTCCAAAAAGAAATTATAATAGATTTTCATATTAGAGAAGCAGAATCCTCTTTAAAAAATACTGATTTTAGGAAAATTTACTTTCAAATACTCAGTATATTTTTCATATCAGAGGAGATTAGTGGTAATGGTAAAAATTGGTAGGAAACATTTGAAATATTTTAAGTAAATTAATAGCATTATTTGATTTAAATAAAAGAACATTTTTTAAATGTCACATGCTTTGGGGGCTCATATTTGCCCAAATCCAAGAGTTGGAAGGTGAATTTATGAGAAGAAAGGAGGTACTACACTTTCCTATGTATGCTTCAAAACCATTGACCTTTGGAATAGATACATTTCTCAAACTTATTCATAAAAATTTTTTCTATATTTCTTCCTAGGTGTTCCAGTTACTAACTGACCTAAAAGAGCAGCGTAAAGAAAGTGGAAAGAATAAACACAGTTCTGGGCAGCAGAACTTGAATACTATCACCTATGAAGTAAGCCTGGTCTTCTGGCAAGCCTACTTAAACTACCAGCGAGAAATGTTGGTTTATTTTGCTGATGACTGGTCGCCAAAATTACAATTGCCTCTTATCTAATTTGAAAAGTTTTATTGTAACCCAGTTTTTAGTCTGTTTATAAAAGTAGGAGGAGTTTAGCCAACTGAAAGGATTAGCCAGCTATAAAGTTAGAAGGAATACTGCCCTCACTTCTAAACGCCTGTTGCAAGTTTGGGAATCTCCATCCCAAACCACCTTCAGGTTTGATAATTTACTAGAAAGATACACAGAATTCACTGAAAGCTGTTATAGTCACTATTATGGTTTATTACAGGGAAGGGATACAGATTAAAATTAGACAAGGGGGCAGGGTGAGATGGCTCATGCCTGTAATCCTAGCACTTTGGGAAACTGAGGCAGGAGGATTGCTTGAGGTCAGAAATTCAAGACCAGCTCTGAGTAAGAGTGAGACCCTGTCTCTACAAAAAATAGAAAAATTAGCCAGAGGTGGTGGTGCACGTCTGTAGTCCCAGCCACTGGGGAGGCAGAGGCAGGGGGATTACGTGAGCCCAGTAGTATGAGGTTGTAGTGAGCTATGATGATACCACAACACTGTAGCTCAGGCAACAGAGCAAGATTCTGTCTAAAAAAGAAAAAATAGTCAAAGGAAGAAGCAAAAAGGGCAGAGTCCAGGAGAAATACCAAATGCAGAGCTTCCATTGTTCTCACCCATGGCATCAGTACACGTTACTCTTCTGAAATCGATATGTGACAGTACACGTGGAATATTGCCAACCAGCATGCTCAGCTGAGCCTCAGTATCCAGAGTTTACATGTGACCAGCTCCTACCCTGAAACTGTGTAGGTGGAGCCTGCTCTACCCTAACTTACACTGTTAAGATTATCCAGTGTGAATGAAGACCCCAGCCAAAGATACTCCTATTCAGCATAGCATTCCAAGGGCCTGGAGATTACCTGCCAAAAGCCTAGGGCAAAGGCCAAACATTTTTAGGGGTGGGGGATGGGATGAGGGGGCCAAGGCCAAATTCTTTATTATAAAAAAGTAATACCTTTTATTGTAGAAAACATAGAAAGTACCAAAAACATAAATAAGAAAGCAAAACTAATTCATAATCTTAATATCTAGTTGACATTTTGCTGTGTTCTCTCCCAACCTTATGCTTTGTCCTTAAAAAAGAAAGTTTAAGCCATTATATTATATGTGATGTTTGATTTTAATGTCATTTTAATTTTTTTTTGTTTGTTTGTTTGAGACAGAGTCTCACTTTGTTGCCCAGGCTAGAGTGAGTGCCGTGGCGTGCTCCTGCCTCAGCCTCCTGAGTAGCTGGGACTACAGGCATGCGCCACCATGCCCGGCTAAATTTTTATATATATATATCAGTTGGCTTATTAATTTCTTTCTATTTATAGTAGAGACGGGGTCTCGCTCTTGCTCAGGCTGGTTTCGAACTCCTGACCTTGAGCAATTCGCCTGCCTTGGCCTCCCAGAGAGCTAGGATTACGCCCGGCCTTGTCTTTTATCTTTTTAAAGACATTTTTAACTTAAGTTATCATAATCCCTTTTATGGAAAATAAGGGATTTAGCACTTTTGTCACCATTCTTTCCCATCCAATTTTGTTCATTTAATCATGTGTTAAAAACCCTATTATATATTTATTCATTCATGTTCTTTTATATTATTTAGTTCATCTCTTTCAAAGAAGAAAATATTTGTTGTTAGTTTTGTAACCAGATTTCAAACTGTTAAGTACTTTTAACTGTATATACTTAATTAGTTTAAGCTCGCTGCCACCCTATTCTTAAGTTCTTTTAATTCATAGTACCTCAAGCAAGGTTATTGTGGTATTAAATATTTTGAGATATTTTATACCTGAGGATATATATTTCTAGTATTCTATTTATTTTATTTGTTTTTAATTTTTTTTAGAGACAAGGTGGTGGAAAGCAGTGGTACGATCATAGCTAACTGCAACCTTGAACTCCTAGGCTCAAGCAATTCTCCTGCCTCAGCCTCCCAAGTAGCTAGGACTACAGGCACACTCCACCATGCCCAGCTAATTTAAAACTTTTTGTAGAGATAGGGTCTCACTATGTTGCCCAGGCTGGTCTCAAACTCCAGACTTCAAGCATCCTCCCGCCTTAGCCTCCCAAAATGCTGGGATTAGAGGCATGAGTTACTGCACCCGGCCTTTAGTGTTCTTAATGTGAATGACAATTTGTCTGAATTGGAGTTACAGAGTTTTGTTCTGTAGGACTGTATAGATGTTTCATTGTCTATTAGTATTTGTTATTATGGAAGAGTTTGAGACCAGCCTGATTTTTTGTACTTTTGAGAAACTCTTAATTTAGATGCTTAAGGTTACTGTTTATATTTCAGGTTTGAAATTCCTCCCAAATTATGTTTAAGTGAGGTTCCCTCTTAAAAAAATATAAAAACATTTTATTTTGAAATAATTGTCCTCTTACAGAAGAGTTGTAAAGACAGTGCTGGGAGTTCCCATGTACTCTTCCCATAGTTTTCTCTAATGTTAACATCTTATATAACCTTTGTATAATTATCAAAACTAAGAAATTAACATTGGTACATGCTGTACTAATTATTTTATTTGAATATCGCATTACTGTCCTATTTCTGTTCCAAGATCCAATCTAGGATACCATTTTGTATTTAGGTAACATCTCCTTAATATACCTTCAATGTATGACATTTCCTTACTCTTCCCTTGCCTTCCATGACCTTGAGACTTCTGAAGAGTACTGGCCAGGTAGTTTGTAAAATGTCCCTTGATTTGCATTTGTCTGATGTCTTCTTGTGATTAGATGGGATTGATGGCTTTTAGGGAAGAATACCGCAGAGGTGATCTGCCCTTCTCATTGCATGGTATCAGAGGGTACATGATATCAACCCATCTTATAACTGAAGATGTTAACTTTGATCATTTGGTTGAGTTAGTATCTGCCTGGTTTCTCCACTGTAAAGTTACACTGTTTTTTCCATTTTCATGTCCTATTATTTAATAGTTAGAAAGGATTTACCAAGTCCAACCCACATTAAAAGGGAAGGGAAGCCCACCTCTTGAAGGGAGAAATATCAAAGAATTTGGTGGCATATGTTTAATCCACATAGTAATTAAAAAAAATTTGGAGGCTAGGCACAGTGGTTCAGGCCTATAATTTCAGCACTTTGGGAGGTCAAGGCAGAAGGATTGTCTGAGACCAGGAGTTTGAGACCATCCCTGGGCAACATAGTGAGATCCTGTCTCTACAAAAAAGAAAAAAAAGAAATTAGCTGTGTGTGGTGGCGCATGCCTTTAGTCCCAGCTAGTAGGGAGGCTGAGCCAGGAGGATCATCTGAGCCCAGAAGTTGGTGGTTTGTGGTTGTGGTGAGCTGTGATTGTATCACTGCACTCCAGCCTGGGCAACAGAGTGAGACCCTGTCTCCAAAAAAAAATTGAGGGGGTAGAGGCTTTGAGGCTATACAAATACCCTACTTCTCCTTAAGCTATTTATTTATTCTGTCATATATATCCATATAGACTCATGGCTATTTTATTCTTTGGGTTCCCTCTCTTTAAAATAATTGTTTGAAATTTAATAACAAAATTGTCAGACTAAAAAATTGTTTCTTTTTAAGATGAAAATTTTTCTTCTAAAATTTCATTATTCTTCCTTGTTCTAGCTACCGATTTTCTATTTCAGGAATTCCTATCATATGAAGATTGGTTCTCCTGAAGACATTTGTTTTATAGAGTGTTATTAAAAACAAAATTTTAGAACACTAAATTAAAGCCATTCCCTTCTCTTTTTCTCATTCAGGATTCTTTGCCTTATGTTTGCCTTTTCCTTTGTTTTTTTTTTAGACATTAAAATACATATCAAAAACACCATGCAGGCACCAGAGTCCTGAGATTGTCAGAGAATTTCTCACAGCAATGAAAAGCCACAAATTGACCAAGTAAGTAAATATTATCTTAAGTAGGAAGACAGTGAAACATGAAAATGATAGCTTAGAAAAGCCATCCTCAGCAACTGTATATTTATATTTAGTTGGATTTTAGATTTCTAATTAATACATGGTGCTCTTTTAAAGAAAGATTATGGTATTGTAGATGAGACAACTGAGATTTAAACATAGAGACCCTTCTAGAGTGAGGAACAGAACTTAGTGGGTTTATCTCAAAGTATTTTCTTGGAGTTCCAATTCATATGACCTATCCTATCACCCCTTCTCAGCATCCAGACCAAATTGGATGAAAAATGGGGTTCATAGATTAAGGTACTTTTTATAAAGTTGATCAATGATGTCATTTGACATTTGTGTTTGCCTTGGGCAAAAGTGGTTTGATAATATTCTGTTTTTTCTTCTGGTGCCCAATTGCATTTCCTGGTAACTTTCTAGAATGAATTCAATGTGTAAAAATTAAAAACACCAAAGACCAAGAGTTTACATAAGAAAATAACTAGCCCAAGTCTTTTAGAATCAATACCAGAGCTGATAAATTCCAAAAGCTATTGTCATTTCATTCAGGATAATTAATAATTTTCTTTTGGAGGAACCATTTGGTTTTATTTCAGGTACACAGTTGCTACACAATCAGTAAACTTAATGAACTTCTCCCCCAGCCCTTCTTCATATGAACTCTCAAAACAAACATCTTGTGTGTGTGTGTGTGTGTGTGTGTGTGTGTGTGTGTGTTATGTATGTATAACATTTTGTTTTTAATTGTGGTAAAATACACATATGTAAAATTTACCATCTTTTTTTTTTTTTTTGAGACAGAGTCTCACTCTGTTGCCTAGACTAGAGTGCATGGCATCAGCCTAGTTCACTGCTACCTCAAACTCCTGGGCTCAAGCAATCCTTCTGCCTCAGCCTCCCGAGTAGCTGGGACTACAGGCATGTGCCACCATGCCCGGCTAATTTTTTCTATATATATTTTTAGTCGGCCAATTAATTTCTTTCTATTTTTAGTTGCTCAAGCTGGTTTCAAACTCATGACCTTGAGTGATCCTCCTGCCTCGGCCTCCCCAAGTGCTAGGATTATAGGCATGAGCCACCACGCACAGCCAAAATTTACCATCTTATCTATTTTTAATTGCACAGTTCAGTAGTGTTAAATATATTCACATTGTTTTGTAACCAATATCCAGAATTTTTTCATCTTGCAAAACTGAAATTCTGTGTCTCTTAAACCACTTCTTCCCTGTCCTTGGTTGGCAACCACCATTCTACTCTTTGTCTCTGTCAGTTTGACTCCCTAATAAAAGTGGAATTATATAGTATTTGTCTTTTTTTCATATCTGAATGTTTAATTTTTTTATCATTTTTTTAACTAAGTGTTCAGTGGCATTAAGCACATTCACATTTTATAATCATCACTGCCATCTATCCACAGAATATTTTTCATCTTGTAAAACTAAAACTGGTGTACCCATTAAACAGTAACTCCACATTTTCCCCTTCTCCTATCCCCTATCAGCCATCATTCTACTTTCTGTCTCTGTAAATTTGACTCTACTCTAAGTACTGCATGTGAATGAAATCGTACAGTATTTTGTCTTTTTGTGTCTGGCTTATTTCACTTAGTATAATGTCTTCAAGAGTCATACATGTTTTAGCAAGTGCCAGAATTTCCTTCCAAAGGCTAAATATTCTATTATGTATAAGCCATATTTTGTTTATACAGCATTCAATGATATATACTTGAGTTGCTTCTTTTTACTTTTTGCCTGTTAATGAATAATGCTGCTGTGAACATGGGTGTACAAATATCTCTTCAAGACCTTGCTTTCAGTTCTTTTGGATATATATTTAGAAGTGAATGGTAATTCTATTTTTAATTTTTTGGGGAACCACCATACTGTTTTTCCTAGTGGCTGTACCATTTTACATTCCCACTAGCAGTGCACAAAAGTCCAATTATTCACATCCTTGCCAAGACTTGTTATTTTCTTTCTTTTTTTTTTTTTTTCGTATAACGGCCATCTATGGGTATAAGGTAGTATCTCACAGTGGTTTTATTTTGCATTTCCCTAATGTTAAGTGATGTTGATTCATCTTTTCATGTGCTTATTGGCCGTTGGTATATCTTCTTTATAGAAATTTCTACTCAAGTCCTTTGCCCATTTTTTACTTTATTTTATTTTATTTTATTTTATTTTATTATTTTTTAAGACAGTCTCTGTCGCCTGGGCCAAAGTTCAATGGCATCATTATAGCTTACTGCAACCTCAAACTCCTGGGTTCAACCAGTCCTCCTGCCTCAGCCTCCCAAGTGGCTGATACTACAGGTGCATACCACCACTCTCAGCTAATTATTTTTGGTTGAGACGGGGATCTTGCTCTTGCTCAGGCTGGTCTTAAACTCCCAGCCTCAAGCAATCCTTCCATCTTTGACTCTCAGAGTGCTAGGATTATAAGAATAAGCTGCCACACCCAGCATTTTTTTTTTGGATAGTGTCTCGCTCTGTTGCCCAATCTGGAGTGCAGTGACCTCATCATAATTCAATGCAACCTTTAACTTCTAGGCTCAAGCGATCCTCCTGCCTCAACCTTCTAAGTAGCTGGGACTACAGGTGGGCACCACAAGGTCCAGCTAATTTTTTTTTATTATTATTTTTTGTAGAGATGGGGTCTTGTTCTTGCTCAGGCTGGTCTTGAACTACTGGCCTCAAGTGATCCTCCCACATAGACCCTCCAAAGTGCTGGGATTATAGGCGAGAGCCACTGCTCCCAGCTTGGTTCTTGTCCTTTAGTCTAAAAAGTTGTATAGCTTTTTGGCTATATCTTTTTGTATATTTTTAGTGGTTACCATAGGGATAACAATATGCATAACTATTTACAGTCCATAGTTACTATTTTACCACTTAAGTAAAATGTACATAGGTCCCTTTACTTTGTTTTATGTTATAGTTGTCATATTTATGGTATGCGATCTACACACATTGAAAATACCATCTGATTTTTAACATTTACTTGCTATACTTTTACATATTTTAAAGAACTTAAGAGAACAGAAGTATCTTTCATGTTTACTCAGGATGTTACCGTTTCTTTTGGTCTTTATTTCTGAAGTTCCCTGTTTCTCTCTTATCATTTACTTCCCCTGAGGAACTTCCTGTAGCATGCCTCTTAGAACGGGTCCACTGGCTACAAATTCTCTTGTTTTCATCAACTGATAATGCCATTATTGTCTTTCATTCCTGAAGGATAATTTCACTAGGTTGAGTGGTCTTTTCTTTAAGCACTTTCAGCACTTTAAAGATAATAATTTTGATGTCTTTCAGCTAATCATGGTTTCTGATGAGAAATCTGTAATCACTCAAATACATAAAGTGTAATTTTCCTCTGGCTGCTTTCAAGATTTTTCTTATCTTTGGTCTTCAAAATTTGGTTATGATATGTTTAGGTTTTTCTTGTTTTTTTTTAATTTATCTTTGACGAGCTGCTTAATTATATAAATTTAGTTTTTTTTTTTTTGAGACAGAGTCTCACTTTGTTGCCCGGACTAGAGTGCCATGGCTCAGCCTAGCTCACAGCAACCTCAAACTCCTGAGCTCAAGCAATCCTGCCTCAGCCTCCCGAGTAACTGGAACTACAGGCATGCACCACCATGCCCGGCTAATTTTTTATATATATTTTTAGTTGGCCAATTAATTTCTTTCTATTTTTAGTAGAGATGGGGTCTCGTTCTTGCTCAGGCTGGTTTCAAACTCCTGAACTTGAGCAGTCCTCCCGCCTCGGCCTCCCAGAGTGCTAGGATTACAGGCTTGAGCCACCATGCCTGGCCTAAATTTAGTTTCTTATTAAATTTGTGAAATGTTCAACTATTCACTCTTGAAATATTTTTTTCTGTGCCAATCTCTTTCTCTTCTCTTTCTTGAACTCTAAAACCACAACTGTTAGACCTTTGATGCTGTCGTACAGTCTCCAGGCTGTGTGCCTTTTTTTCCCTTGTTGTTCAAATGGGATAATTTCTATTTATCTGTCTATAAGTTCACAGATTCTTCTGTCATCTCCATTCTGTTATTAAGCTTACCAGTGAATTTTTCATGGCAGATAGTTATCAGTTCTAAAATTTCCATTTGTTTTTTTATAATTTCTGTTTCTTTCCTGAGAACTATTATCCATTCATTTCAGGAATGTTTGCTTTTACTCCATGTTGTTATAATAACAAAAGTCTTTGATAATTCTAACATCTGGGTCATCACAGGCTTAGCATCTGTTGATTATCTTTTCCCTTGAGAATGAGTCATATTTTCCTGGTTGAAATAATTTTCGATTGTATCCTGTGCATTTTGAATATTATATTGTTTAGACTCTGGTTCTGTTTAAAGTCTGGTTAATGTTGCTTTTTTTGTTTTACCAGGCTATCAACCCAGTTAGGTTCAAACCTCAAGTCAGTCTTGCCTTCCAGGGGCAAGGATTTTAGTGTCAATTTAGTTTTTAAGACCTTGCCTTGCTGCTTTGAGTCTTTTCTGCATATGATACTAGAGTGGTGGTTTAACCTACTTCTCAGTGTCTTTACTGTCCTGGGTCTGTTTGATGTTTACTGTTTGGGGGCCATTCTGCATGAAGTACCTCAGGGTTAACCTAGGATTTGCGTTGATTGGTACTCAAATTTAGAAATGTCCTTCTTTTTAGCTCAGCTCTCTGGGATTACCCCCCACTCTGTAGCCCACAGGGGACCCATTTTTGGCCCTCTAGCTATAAGTACTGGGTTTTTCTCATAAGTTTTAACTGCCCCCTGTGTGTGGTTGTTACTGTAGCTGCCCGTGGGGCAAAGCAGGGAGAGGAAAAAAAGGGATATTTTGGTACTCTTTGGACCAGAAAGCCTCCCTTCCTGGCTACACCTGCTGCTAGTCTCCGCAGGGAACAGCATTTGAGCTGTGAGCTTCACCTGGTTCTCCAGATTTCAGGGAGAACCTTTCTCAATCATCTGGCCAGAAAGATGG